TGTCATCAAGACTCAGAGATCGTTGCTGCTGTTTTGGGCTGTCTAAGATCCGTATATGACTTAAGATACCAATGCCCAAAGAGATACCATGTGCCTCACCCACTTTCTGAACTATTTCAGGACTCACGAGGCCCCTGTTTCTGTCTCTCACATTGAATGCAACAGCTGCACCCCTCTCATATTTGATTTTCGGACCATAGATGCGAACTAGCCGTGAACTGTCTTCCCCGTTTGAACCAGGAAATCTTAACTGAAGCAACGAGGTAACTAGCCAATTGATGAGATATCTTAGCCGGAGAGTAGTTTTATTGAGACCTAACATGTTTATGTGATCAAGATGCCTGCATGCTATCTCGGGTTCTCTCCTGTCTGAGTCTTGCCCGTCGTCATAATCCCCATCACTAAGGTACTCGTCATCATCCAAACTTGTTGCTAACAATTCCCCAGGCTCAAGTGTATGGCTCTGGCGAGGTTTACGGTTGTCTTCCATGCTGAAGGATACACGTCTTCCCCGGCTTCCAGGCTGATCAGCATCTTCTATACCAAAAAATCTACCTCCTGCATATCTGTTTCCTTCTCTCCTTTCCAATAACCTGAACTCACCTTCAGTTTCTCTTCTTATAGCACTCTCTTTAATCTCCGGGCATATCTCAGAGATTGATCCATTATCAAGGGTTTGATGCCGAGAAATTGAAGTTGAGTTGTCCAGACCAGATCCCCTTACAGAAGAAATCAACATGTGACCCTGTTTGCTGGTCTCTGGTTCTTCCTCGATCTCTGGGCTTCTCTTATCAAATTGGTCTTCTTCAGGAATCTCCTTGAAGTGGTCGAATTCTTGAGACACCGACCGGACAGCTGCATCAAATGATAGCACATGGTTGTCCTCATGCCGCCCTGTGTCATACAATGGGCTGCTTGATATCTTTGAAGGCTTGGGCGAGAGCCTTTTATTATTCTTCCTGCCAGCAAACCAAAATGGGGGTGCTGGAGAGGCAATCTTTTGTTTGTTGGATTGCCCAGCACCGTCAGATCCCAAGGGGCTCTGGCCCAAGTCAATCCACAGGGAGTTATCAGATGATTCATCTTCACTAAAGACTGGACTTCTCATTACCTCCCCAACAGAAATGCTTTCAGTCTCTTCAAATATCGTGCTGGCTCCGTCCCTATCGGAGCTGTTGTCATGTTCCATCTCCGTCTCAAATACATCCCTGACCTGAGCAGAAGTGTAAGCACCAGAAAAGGCTGGCAACTGAGATCCTGGCCGAGTTTCAGCATTTGCTTCACTGTCCTCTCCCGCTTCATCATCCTCGGCCAATCCAGGGAAACCATCAACGGAGTCACTCAAATACAAGGGGAAAACAGGAGTAATTTTTACTATACCAGACCCAGCATGCCCCGACTGATTTTGAAGGCTTCCCATCACAGATTTTTTTATAAGAAGGCATCCAAATCCAGTTGGGTCATAACCAAACACCCTGTAGAATGAAGTAACTATAAAGTCCGGCCGGAATAAAGACAATCCTAGAGAATCCATGTCTTTTGGACCCAGAGCGCCAGCATCAAGCAACACATGCCAATTATTCTGCTGAGCCAGTGCCATCCACTGGTATGAGTACTTGGCACCAGTAACTCTAGATTGGACTGGGAAAACAAAGAGACCAGTAGCTGAATCTTTCTTTCTCCTCTTTTTGTTCGAAATTTGCTTCCTCAAATCAGTTGAACATAGTTTGAGGGTAGGCCATTTGAACCATGCACTATAAACCTTGGCACCTTTCTCTCTGGCACACTGACCCATCCAGTTAACCGACTGGCTCTCATGATCAAACATAGTCAACAACTTTTTGTTGGTCTGAAAAGGGTATGATTCAGCTAACAACTTAAAAGCTGAGCCCCTACTCACAGTAAAAACAAGACCATACTCATTCTCAGGGATGTTCAAGTAATCCATAATTCTAGTCTTAATATCGTGTTCCACAGTGCCTTTCTCAGCACCCCCATACAAAGCATGATTGCTCAAATTAGCAGTAATCTCAGACAAGCTAAATGTAGATGACTCCCAGTAATGAACACTTTGAAGGAATGAAAACAACCCAAATCCACAGTAATCAAGACATACCTTAGGTGCAGAGCCAGAAAGGTGAGAGTACTCATCTGACCTCAGCTCATCAATCTTTTCCGAGGACTGGTACTTAGGATACATGGTCAAGAACTTAGAAAAGGCTTCATTTAGCTCAGGAATGGAGTCCTCAGATTCAAAAGTGCGCTCTGCAGCAAGAGCAGTGGCTTTCAAGAACTCTTTTTGGGCATGTAGCCTAGCGAGTGACCGGGATCGGCCCAAGCCTTCATCTTGGTTCTGTGCTGACAGGGAGTCCACATCTTGAGATTTAACAAGAGACCCATTTTCAGATGCTTCCTCAAGAGCCTCCCTCAGCTTATGCTCTTGCAATTTTTTCAGCACAGATGGGTTTTTCTTTATCTCTTCGGTGGTATGGTTAGACCCATTTCTCTTTCTGCTCTTTTTGTCCAAGATCAGAGAAGCACAGTGAGATATTGGCTTCCATAGTGAAAGATGCATTACAACCTTATTTTTTCTTTGTCTGTGTGTCAATCAATCACAGAGAGGACCCAAAAAAGGAGTGACTGAACAAAGCTTCACCAAAGACAAAGAAATAGTTTTTAGCCCATCTAACTCTAAACCCCAGAAAAAGAAAGGCTTAGTACCCAAACCCTAACTTCTGGAAAAGCAAAGGAATCAAGCTAAAAGCATCCCCCCAAGAATCAAAACCTTTGCTTTCAAAAATCAAATGCACCCTAACTTAAGGAGGGAAAGTCCTAAAGCATTTGCCTTTACCAAAAACACAAAGACCAGATACTGGTATCAAAAGAATTGATTAAAAATTATACAAAATAGACCAGATCAAAGAAACCCTAATTTTGCCCTTTCTTGAAGATTGACACAAACCCAATAATCTTTGACTGGAATACTCAATCAATCAATTTCAGGTTCTTGAGGTGAGAAATTTCAACGAACAAGAATATAGAAGTTAACATTTGAAGGGGAAAAAACCTAGACGGAACTTAAGATCCAAGACTCAAAGACTTAACTTTTACAAAACCCCACAATGTCCAAATCCAAAGTCAACAAGTTGAATGAAATTGGAAGAAACCCCAACACCCAAAAGTAAGCAACAAAGCAGATCTTCAAGAAATGGACACCAAAAAAAGACACCAAACGAACAGAAAAAGAGAGAGAGAGATTGAAGAAGAAGAATCTACACCTCCAAAACCTCCAGCTAATCCTCAATCAAAGACACCTGAAAGTAGAGTTGAAAAAAAATACACTCTTCATATTACTATTATCTCTCACTAGGCTTTTTCTTTTTTCTTTTTTTCTTTTGGGGTAAAGCCAATTAAAAGCAACAGTCTCAAAATGAAAGGAGCATTAATTGCAGTTCTGAGCCCAAAAGCATACCTCTATTGATTACACCAATACTCTCTTAATTTCTCTCTCCTTCTCTCTCTCTCTCTCTCTTTCTTGATTGATTCTATCTGGCTGTATCTACACACTACATGTAAATTGTACAACTACTACATTTTTTTTCTTCTCTATCTAACAAACAGTAAGAAATGACATTGACTTTCACATACACAGCCCCCCACTAAGAGATAAGTTGTGTGCTTCTCTCCTCTAATAATTTATTAAATTAATTTTGTTACTGAATTAATCAATTAAGTTAATCAAATGGGATAATATTAAAAGTTGGTTTTGCTGTGGTAACGTAGGGTCCACCCAATAGACGTTTGCCTTTTAACGGTGATTTCTCAAGTCAAACCATTAGCTTAGCTTTTAAAAGCTGTTTTCTGTCTAATCCCACTATTTTCCAAATTCCGGCTAATCTTCAACCCTCTACCCTTTTTACCCTATTTTTTTTTTCTTTCTATGTTCGATACCCGTCTTTAGATATTAATTTGAATTCACGTTGCCTAATATTTATTAAAGAGGAAAGTGCTTTTTAGTAGTGTCGGAAATAGAGTTTTCACCTAGGAAATTCAAAATAAAATAAAATTAAACACGTAAAAAAATTAAGAGGATTTAACGCCTAATATATATATATATATATGAAAAAAATTTAATCTTATATATATTGTAATTTTTAGTGAAATGGGTTCGGCTGAACTTTCTTTCGACCACCTAGATCCGTCTCTGCTCTCTAGCCTAGCAAAATTCGTCCATTCTTAGATCTCAAACCAAAAGTCCCTACTTAAGAATAGAATGATCGTATCCATCTCTTATAATCCAAGATTGGTCATTTCGGTATATTTACTTCTGAATGTACATTAAACTAAAGAGATTAAAATTGAACAAGATTTAAGTTCGCCTTCTGGATCGAAGAATTTTTCAGTAATTTATTTCTTTTAGTGAGTCTATATATTCAATATGAATTTGAATTAGTTGAATCAATGGATTTTGAATACCGTATTATTAACGGGGAAAAGACTTTAAAATTTGTCCATTTACTATTTTAAGCATAAATAAATATATATATATACACAATCATGCTACATAAACGTTAATTAGACATAAGTGTCTATAAATATAAAAAAAGAAATAAGGTGACTAATATGTTGCAGTCGGTCAAAGAGTGCAACTTTTTATAAAGTAAAAACTGAAATGTAAATTAGAAGCACTTGAAAGGAAGGACTTTTAATGGTTCAAGATTGGTTTATATCTTCAAATTTCGTTGGCAAGACTAAAAGAAAATTCAGGAACTGGAATCATTATTCTTTATAACGTCTTATTCTTCCCTTTGGATTAAACAAATAGAAATGAAAAAGAAAATGTTGAAATTCTCTTTTTGTTCTTTTGATTTTCCATTGAGTAATTTTCACTTTTCATTTCGGCTGACCACTAAAGTTGCTTCTTAAGGCAAAAAAGGTGGAAATTTGACCATGACTGCAGCATAATGTAAAAAGAAAAAGAAGAAAATAAATTGCTTTTATTGAGGTGAGTAATAACTTGGGATTTTCCTGAGATTAATAATATTGTTTTTTCATCTTTTTAGTCTACAATAAGCACATTGTAAAACTATAATCCAAACATACTTGCAGAAAGAAAAAAAAAGCATAACCGTGAGAGGTGACAGCTTCGAATCTCAACTATAAGAATAAATAAAATAGGCGACTGAAATTATGTGTACATTTTTTTTAACAAGGAGAAAACAAAATGAAATCGTACAATATCACATAAAATATTTGGGGAGAAGCAAGTGGAGTGCTGGATTTTTCCATCTTTTTGTAGTTTATAAATCTAATCTAATCGAATCAGCATATTGTTCAACCCCTTCAAGCATCCTCGTTTTGTTTTTTTCAATTCAGAAACTGCTGTTCCTGTTGCCATATGTTTCATTTTTATGTATTGGGTTGTTTGTTCATGTTCCGATGGCCAAGGCTTGTCTTTTATGGTTGAAGCGATGGATTATAACGAGCAGCGAAAGCAATCCCAGTATCAAAATCACATGTAATCTAGACAACTAGTGTATATGGGGTGTCACGGGCTACCTCTTGAAGCGTGAACATATCTCTTCTATCACGCGAGCCTTCAGTTCCATAACTTCTCAATGGAATCTCCATCATCCGCACAATCGTGATAATCGAACGTTCTACGATCTTCTATTGTGTTACCCAAATTTCTAGGAAAACTTGGCTGAAAATTTCGGCCACCATGTACTACTCCCTCTAGATAGAAAACCTTATGTATTTATAGCACAAGTTTTAAGGGTTAAAACTCTTTTCCAAAACCTGTTGGGTTTTCTTTTCCACAAAAAAAAAATGATTCCTTTATTTCCTATTATTTAGGCATAGTAGGGACCACATAATTTAATTAACAAGGCTCCAATTATGGAATTAATTTCTAATTTTCGAAATTAATATCTACCATAATTAATTACGAATTATTTCACTAAAAATTTGTAATTGCACTTCTTATTCAATTTCAAAATTCATCCATTAAATCTTATTTAACTCGCCATATTATTCAGATACTAATCAATTAAATTAAATTACTGACGATTTAATTTATTGATTATTTCCTTTAGACTTTCGCTTAACTTATTTCATGTGTCGGATATAAAATCCACCAACCGGGTTTACACATGAAAACTTATAAGCTTTCATAAAGGTGTATCATCAATCTCTAAATCGAGACATGGATTCCATCAACTAACTATTACTTCGCCAATGTACATTATTATTATCCAATTTACCAGGCATATTGACCCACGAAAGAATCTCGCCTTTTAATAAATCAAAACAATAATAATGTACACAGCTAATAATAATTATATTAATATTAAGAGTATAAGTACATTTAATGGCTAGAGAGTTTATTTTATTAAGTCAGTATAAAATACTTATCTCTACTTGGTCCGTTCAATACATACAAAATATACTAGTACAAGAAATTGGAATTAAACTATTCCCATAATCAAGATAAATTATATTTAATCTTGTGCTACAATCATCCATGATGGTTTGTCCAATTCCATCATTAGATTGTGAACTCAAACTTTATACTTATAAGAACCGATGATTTAATCTTTCGTGTACAAGCTAAACTCTATACACTAAATCATCTACTATATAAGCAAAGGACACAGACTAATATATGATCTATTTAAAACTTTATTAAAATTGAATAAATAATTATTCCATAATAAATACTAGGAGAAATGGCTTCCTGGCCACTTAAACTTGCATCAGTTTGTAAAGCCGATATATGAACTTTTGAGTTTTTCATTTGAACACCTTTACTTGAAAAAATGACTACTAATAAACACTTGTGATGGTGCATGTTATTCAATTGCTGCTGACATGGATTTAATTTAATATTTTATATAGTCACATCATCCATTCATTCACATTTTGTTGACACCTGTATGTTCAAGGTCCCAATTTGTGGACCCTGTCCTTTTCCAAAATTAATTTATTAAATTTCTATTTTTTCTTCTCTTTCCCTTCTTCACGAACTGTAAACAAAAGCTCCGATAATGGAGACTGTAAATATAAGCTCTGATAATGGAGACTGAAGTTCAATCGAGTTTTGATATACCAGCCTAAACAATAAGCTTCTTGATAACCTTGAGAAATCTTTCTTTGAAGCCAATAACAATTTATGTCCTGAACATTCAAAGTCATTCCTTCATCTGCCTCCTGCATCTCATCTTCCTCAATGCCACTGCCCATCTGCATAGCGCCAGAACCATCGGCTTCTAGCACAACATCATCCTCATCTTCATCATCAAGCTCTCTCTCTTCATCTTCTTCTTCGTCTTCATTCTCATCAAACTCAACTGCTACACCAACATCATAATCAAGAGCTTCATCGCCATTATCGCGACCATCTAATTGGTAGTCAGTGATGAGTTGCCCATTTGACACCAACTTATCAAATACATGGTCCAAAATAGGGTTTAACAGCTTTTCAATTTTCAATTTCTTTTCAGGGTTCTTAAAGTTGCCGTCTTTTAACACGGCCAATATCTCATCAGCAGCCCTACTCACAATACTAAAGGGTTGTCCACCAATTTACTGCTGAATGAGACTGTAAACATAAGCTCCGATTTTACTTCCCATGGTTATTGGAGTTTGTTGTTGATATCTTGGAAGGAGTTACGCGAGTGCGTTGGAGGTGTGCTAAGGTTCTGAGCTTTTTCCTTTTTTTGGGTTGTGTTCTATGTTTTGCTAGAAGTGGCTATGGTAGAATAGAAGGGGGGAGGGGGGAAGGGGAGGTGGGAGTTTGGCAGGGAAGATGAGGGGAAAATAGAAGGGAAAGGGAAAGGTTTTTTTTTTCTTTCTTTTTTAATAAAAATAATGACTATCCACGCGCCTTTGTAGCGTGATATGCACATAATTTAGCCATGTCAGTTATGCCGCTTCCACATAGGCAAAGTCAACGGTCAAATATGTTTATTAGTATTTATTGCATTAAGTTGGAGTGTTCAAATGGAAAAAGTGCAAGTTCATATATCGACTTTTAAAACTGATGCAAGTTTAAATGGCCAGGAAGCCATTACGCCTAATTACTATATATAAACCAAACACATAATTAATAGTATATATCTCAACATGAAAAACCAAGAAAAATAGAGAAATACTTGTGCTTATGGGAAATAACAAATATTTAGCGTTAGGCTGATAAAGAAAAAGAGAAGGGTGATTGACTGATTGTAGTTTTTTACCATTATCAAATCATATAGTAGTACTTAGTTTTCGGTTCAGATGTCTCAGCACCTTTCACTTCAGAAAAGCCTTTGACAAGTATGGTATCTCATCTCTCAAGGGACAATCTTTAGGGCCCCTTTAGCCATAAAAATATTTCATTTTTTCAAAAAATTTATGTATATTTTTCGGAATGTGAAAGTTTCAAATTTCACTTCAAATTGAATTTCGGAATTTTTCAAAAATTGAAAAACTCCTAAAAATTATTTTTTAAAATTTTCACTTTAAATCACTCACAAAAATTTAAAATAGATCCAAATTGTATACATATTCTAAAACATTTCTAATTTTCAAATATCATTTCACTTAATTTTTTCCCCACTTTTTTTCGAAATTTTACAATTCTTATATCCAA